GGGGGGGAGGAGAAGGGCCTCTGCTGGGATGACCGTGGGGGTTTCCAAGTGGATAGGGGGGTTTACAAGTGCAGGCCAAGGTGGGCTGTATCTGGCCCAACCTGGCTTATAAGTGGGTTGCAAGTGCCTTGAAGTAGCTTAGGGGGGTTCACGATCCGGGCTAAGGGGGCTCCGCCCACTTAGCCGAATCATCTAGCCCCCCCTAAGCCATTCGGGGAGTGTGTGACCCACATATAAGCCAGGTTGGGCCAGATATAACCCACCTTGACATCCACTTGTAACCCCCCTATCCACTTAGAAACCCCCACGGTCATCCCAGTGGATGCCCTTGCCCAGCCTGGGGGCCGTCCAAGACTGACCCGGGGCGACAATCGAGGAGGAACAACACGGCGTGAACAACATGATTTTTTGGCGCTCCGCGCGGTTGTCTTGGATCTGCACCGGACCCCCTCCCTGGCGCGCGGAGCGCGCCTGGGGCGGCGCCGGAGGCGCCGCCGGGGGGCCCAGCGCGAATCCAAGAAATCCGCGCGGAGCGCAAAAAGTTCATGTTGATGGCGTGTTTTTTTCTTCGATTTTTCGCTCCCGAGTCTTGGGCATGCCCACACGAGGCTTACGTCGGGCGTGTCCCATACAGAAATAGTCGGCGACTACAATCGGTGCGGTTACGCCAGGGTGCGGTTTGCGAGTTGCTTTGCGGCGGCCTTTCCGGAGCCTTTGTGAGAGACAATGTCATAATTGTCGTCGTTTCGAGCGACACTGTCATCCTCGATGTGTGCTCCACTGCACTAGAAGGAGCGACAGTGTCGTGTGATTCGGTCTCATTTAGTAACAGTGTCATCCCTTTCCCGGAGGCGGGAGGGGCAGATATGACGGAAGGCAAACCGCACCCTTCGCAAACCGCACCCACTTTAGTCGCCGAAATAGTAAAAACAAAAAAAACAGTACGGGGACGATGTTTTGAACATTTGTCAATGATTTTGGAATTGTTTGACATGCCCGACCTAACACAAGGCGCATGGGGATGGGGCGAGGGAGGGGAGGAGCGCCCCCCCCCAGTGGCGCCTCTTGACATGCCCGATCTAACACAAGGCGCATGGGGGTGGGGCGAGGGGGAGGAGGAGCGTCCCCTCCGGCGGAGCCTCTGGCGCCGCCCCTGGCGCGCTCCGCGCGCCAGGGAGGGGGGTCCAGCTGGAAGGTTTCTCCGAAGGGCTTAGGCGACCCGTCCTCCTCCATCTCCTCCTCCTGTTCCTCCTCCTCCTCCTCCTCGTCCTCCTCCTCCTCGTCCTCCTCCTCCTCGCCGTCCCCTCCTCAGGTCGCCTACGGCCCCGGAGGAAGCCGTCCAGGTCCAGCGCAGATCCAAGAAATCCGCGCGGAACCGCAACGTTGTTGTTTTCTTTCTCCAGAGAAGCAGGTCCCAGGGAATGGGTCGAGACCTCAGAGGGTCCACGCCGTGAAAAAGAGGCGTGCTGCCGGGTGTCTGGGGATACGGCTCGACTTGGAGCCCAGGGCTCCGAGTTACGAGCTCTTTTCACGGCGCCGATGCATCGGCGATGCATCCCCGGGTTTTGCTCGCGTCGCGACAAACAATTCAACGGACAGTTTTGGGGCGGTTGTTTTCTGCCCGCTGGGGCCCTCGCCAGGCCCCAAGACCGTCAACACAGCGACTCGGGGTGAAACGCCAGTCTTTTTGGGAAAGGGTCGGGACTGCCTCGGGCCCCGTATTCCATTGAGCGCCTTTGCATTACTCGCCAAGCGCCCACTCGCAAGCGTCCGACAAAGACACATGTCTGCATCGATGACACGTATCGCAAGCTCCCCATGGCGGAGCCAGACCACTTGCGAGCGGTTGCTTTGCGAGTCGCGGAGCGCGCTTGCCTCGTGTTGAAATAGGGGAACAAAAAGTGACATAAACATAAGTCGGAGGTCCGCGCGGATTTCTCGGCTCGGCGCTGGGGGCCCCCGGCGGCGCTTCTGGCGCCGCCCCTGGCGCGCTCCGCGCGCCAGGGAGGGGGGGCCCAGCGCCGATCCGAGAGATCCGCGCGGACCTCCGAGTTTTTGTGTTTGTGTCACTTTTTGTTCCCCTGTGAAAATCGAGGCGTCAGCTGTCGGGGTTGGCGGTGCTTCGGCGAGGCGGCGCGACTCCCCCCCCGTGGCCGCACTCTTGCTGCAGGCTCGTGCTGCTATAGGGGGCGGCGGCCCCAGCGGTGGCCGTGCAGGGAGAAACGCCGCCAGGTGCTCCTCCTCCTCCTCCTCCTCCTCCTTTCCTCCTCCTCCTCCTTTCCTCCTCCTCCTCCTTTCCTCCTCCTCCTCCGCCTCCTCCTCCTCCCTCCTCCCCTCCTCCTCCCCCTCCTCCTCCTCCTCCTCCTCCTCCTCCTCCTCCTTCTCCTTTCCTCCTCCTCATCCTCCTCCTCCTCCTCCTCCCCCTCCCCCTCCTACCTTTCCTCCCCTCCTCCTCCTCCGCCTCCTTCTCCTCCACCTCCTCCTCCTCCTCCTTCCTCCTCCTCCTTTCCTCCACCTCCTCCTCCTCCTCCGCCTCCTCCTCCTTTCCTCCCCCACCCTCTCCTCGGCCTCCTGCGTTCTCCTGGGATCGGAGAGCTGCGATCGGTCCAAGGTTGAGCCAGGGCTCGAGTAGGGTGTCGACTACATGATGGATCTGCCCCGGAATTGATTTGCTCGTCGGATATCGACGAGCGAGTGCGCAGAAAGCTCGGTGTGTTCTACGAGACGAAATCGTCGCATTCTTCTTCGACTCCTCAGAAAAAAACAGTTCTGGGGTAGATCCAGTCTGTAGTCGCTTTCCTACTCGACTCGGTGGCGAGCGAGCGGGGGAAGTTAGAAGGGGCGGGCCTTCTCTGAAGCCTCGGAAGCCCCGTGGCCTTCTGAGAAGTTCTCTGAGCCATCCCCGGAGGCACAGAAAATTTCTTCTCAGAAGGTCGGAGGGCCTCCGAGAAGCTCCGCCGCCTTCTGAGAAGGCCTTCTCCATCTCACTTCCCCCCCTCGCTCGCCGCCGACCTTTCTTCTCCCCCTCCTCCTCCTCCTCCTCCTCCTCCTCCTCCTCCTCCTCCTCCTCCGCCTCCGCCTCCGCCTCCTCCTCCTCCTCCTCCTCCTCCTCCTCCTCCTCATCATCATCATCATCATCAAGTGGTGTGCACCTCCGCCGCTTAGGGGGGGTAACGATCCGGGCTAAGTGGGCTCCACCACTCGGGGAATGTGTAACCCACATATTAGCCAGGTTGGGCCAGATACAACCCACCTTGGCATCCACTTGTAACCCCCCTATCCACTTAGAAACCCCCACGGTCATTCCAGTACAGGAGGAAAATTCAAAAGTGGTTCCAAACAGTAGTCTGGGGAAGAGTTTCCCAGCATGTTTAGACTATTTGGGAATCGTGTTGGACTACTTTGAAATTTTCGCCCCAAGTCCGCCTGTAGAGGGGGACATGCCCGACCTAACACTGCGCGCGCCTCGCGCCTCGCGGGGCGCAAAAAGCGCCCAGAGGCGGGTGGCCTCGTGCGGGACGACCCTCCCCCACGAAACAAACGAAACACAGACGCCCTCCGAGGGATTGGAATTGCTCCTGGGCCTCGGAAGAGGGCGGCGGCGTATGCATTCACATGGAGGGCCACCGACTCTGCACACCGCCACCGTCCATGTCAAATCTCGTCGGAGCGTGCCTGTGTTTGAGCAGGGACCGACCGTCCCGGCATTCCTATCGTCGTACCACGAAATGTTCTTAGAACCCGAGAATGTTCTAATAACAAAAACAATGTTCTTAGAACATAATCCCGATGTGATAAAGCAAGACAGGCTCCGCCACAAATGTTCTGAGAACATCTCGTGGGAACCACACAAAGGTTCTTAGATCATGGCTTGGTGGGGCTATAGGCGAGCCAGGACGCTTCGCCACTGCTTGATGTGTGTAAATACAGTCAGGGCACTGAAGATGGAACCCTTCTCGTTGGGGAGGGGCTCCGTGCTCCTTCATTGTTTTACAGCTTGCCTGAGGTTTTCCCTAGGGTTTCGATGGGAATCAAAGTTTGACTTGTGGAAAAATGGGGCCCCGTTCCTTATTTAGGGTTCCTTGGTCAACGCCTCGACTGTATTCTCGTGGCGCGGGCCCACGCGGTGCCGGAGGCCACCGCGCAGGCCGCCGCGGCACAGAAAGCGGACCTCCCCGCACGCGGGGCTCCCCGTGCGCGCGGCGCGGAGGAGCCACGGGGGCCCGACTCTGCGGTCTGCGTCGGCACCTCTGCAGCAGAGGCCCCCGGGGCCCGGGGCCCTCTTGCAGCTGGCCCTCCCGACTTATACGTCCCCTCCCAAAAAGCCTCACGGGTCCTTCTTGTAGTGGCCCTCCCGACTTAGGTCCCCTCTCAAAAAGGCTCACGGGTCCTTTTGGCTGGTCCGCCCTTTGACGTCTCTCCCCGGCCCTCGCGATGCCGCGCTGGCAGCCCTCTTGCAGCTGGCCCTCCCGACTTGGGTCCCCTCCCAGAGGCCGGGTCGGACGAACGGGGGGGATTGGGAAAGGGGGGTCACGAAATCGGCTGCATGCAGCTGGTTTCGGCCCCACCGAGGGGCCCAGTCCTCGATACATAGCCGCTACGTGAGCTGATTCTCAAACCCCCCCTTTGCTATCCCCCCCTTTCGCCCGACCCGAGAGGCTCACGGGTCCTTTTGGGCTGGTCCGCCCTTTTGCGTCTCCCCCCGGCCCTACAGAGCGGTGCCGCGCCGGCGGCCCGCGGCACAAAGAGGCACCGCGCAGGGCCACCCGTGCCGCCCCGCCAGCCCGGGGGGGGGCCCGCCTCCGCGGCTCCGCGGCGGCTCCCCCGGGCCCGCGACGGACCCCTTCGCCTCCCCTCGCGCGTCGCCGCGGGGCGCGGCGGCGCGAGGCGCAGGGCCACGGAGGCCCAGGCCACCCCCGCGAGGTCGCGAGGTCGAGGGGTCGAGGGACCGAAGCACCGAAGCACCGAGGCATCGATCGAGAGATCGAGACAGCGAGGCGTCGAGGCACCCGTGGAGGGATCGGGAGAGATCGGGGCCGCAGCTGCGGGAGCGAGAGAGAGAGAGAGACGTAATTACACGCACACGGATCCACGGAATGGTTTCGGGAGCACGTGCTGCGCGAACGTTCGTGTCACGCGGCCGGTCTCGCGGAGTGGAGGGCTGTGCTCATGTACGTGGTTGGGCGCGAACGTCCTTCGTGCGCTCCTTAGCAGTTGGCCCGCCTCTGGAGGAGGAGGAGGAGGAGGAGGAGGAGGAGGAGGAGGAGGAGGAGGAGGAGGAGGAGGCGGCGGCGGGGGAGAGGCGGAGGACAGGAGCGGAGGAGGAGGAAGGGGTGGAGGAGCAGAGGAGGAGGAGGGAGGAGCGAGGAGAAGAAAGGAGGAGGAGGAGGAGGGAGGAGGAGGAGGAGGAGGAGGAGGAGGAGGCGGATTCTCGTCGCTCCCTCGGGCGGGGGTCCTGCCCCCCAGGAGGGCTCGCCGGACGCGGCCCTGACGGCGTGCCTCTCCACGCTCGGCGCCCTCCTCCTGCTCGCGGCGGGCGCCGCCGCGGCGTACGGCCTGCTGTGGCCGCGGCCCGCCGCGGCCGAGGCGGCCAGCAAGGGCGGTCGGACGCGCTCGGAGGGGGAGGATCGCCACGGGGCAAAGCCGTGGGCGAAGCGGCCGCTTCCTTCTTCTAGGCTCTGGCAAGTTCTGCTTGCATGGAACGGGGGGGGGCGAGTTGGGGGGGTCAGATGCGTGGGCGAAGGGTAGAGGGGAAGCCCGAGGCCGTTTTTTTTTCTTCTAGGCTCTGGCAAGTTTGGCTTGCATGGAGGGTGGGGTGGGGTGGGGGTCCTTGTAGGCGAAGGATTGAGAGAAAGCCAGAGGCCATGTTTTTTTCTTGGCTATGGCAAGTTTGCCATGCATGGAGGGGGGCTGGGGTGGGGGTCCAAATGCGTGGGCGAAGAAAATTTGAGCAGGCCGAAAGATTTTCCTCTTGGGGCCCAGATGACAAATGCGAAGTGTCGTTAACTTTAGCGGATGCGGACGCAGCGATCATATCGCTCTCGCGTCGAGGTGGGGTGCGGCGTATGTTATCGGAGCCTGCGGGAGTTGGCCGGGGTAGCCGTGGCGCTCGAGCACCGACATGTTATGGGAGGGGTTCGGAGAGGTACCCAGGCCCGCCGTGGCGCTCGAGCTCCCGACTTGGGCACCGCGGTCGTTTTCCCTCCTCCCTCCTCCGTCATCCGCCTCTTCCGTCCTCCCTCCTCGTCCTCCTCCCTCCTCGTCCTCCTCCCTCTTCCTCCTCCTCCTCCTCCTCCTCCTCCTCCTCGTCCATCCTACCTCTTCCTCCTCCCGCCCTCCTTATGCCTCCCTCCCCCTCACTCGTCCTCCTCCTCTTCCCTCCGCCCTCCTCTTCTCCTGCCTCCCTTCCACTTCCCTCCTCCCTCCTCTTCCTCCCTCCTCCGGTTTCCTCCTCCCCTCCTCCTGACTCTTCGTTTGCCCTCCTCCTCTTTCTCGTCTCTCCTCTTCTTCCTCGTCGTCGTCCTCTCCCTCCTCTCCGTCCTTCGAATTCCTCCCTCATCTTCGTCTTCGCCCGCCTTTCGTTTGTGCTTCCCTACTCGTCCCCGTGTGTTGTGTCTCTCGGTAGGGGAACCCCTCCCCCGTAGAATCATAGCGTGGGCTGCAGGTCCAAGGCTCCGTGGATCCATTTCCCCTTGGGTCCCTTGCATTAATTAGTAGTACAGATTTATTCCAGCAGAAGAATTGGATCCACGAAGCTTCCACGCCAAAACATTGGATCCAGAAGACACGGAAATTGGATACACGTGACTCTCGCACACACGTAATTGGATCCAAATGGATCCATGCGTTCCCATGCAAGAGGAAAAAAGTTGCGGCCTGGGGATGTAGAGAGAAAACCAGAGGCCATTTTCCTGTCTAGGCTCTGGCAAGCTTTGCTTGCATGTAGGGGGATGGGGGTTGGGGTGGGGGTCCACATTCGTGGGCGAAAGATAGAGAGAAAGCCAGAGGCCATTTTCCTTTCTAGGCTCTGGCAAGTTGACTTGCATGGATGGGAGGGGGAGCGTGGGGGTCTGGTGAGGCCCTGGGGGAAACCTGGATTTCGTGCACGTCGAAACCCACGTGCATGCCGTTTCGGCCCACCATTTTCTCATGAGGCGGCGGAGGGGTGGGGGCGGAAGGAGCGGGGCAAACTCCAATGCAAGTTAATTTGCTTGAACTTACTTGTGGGAGAAAATGCAGGAGACCTTCATGGAAGGAGCCCGTTTCTGTATTCCTTGGGGCATGACGGGCGTCATGGCCCCCCCCCCCATGACGTAACGCTCCCCCCCCCAGTGCGTTCCGGGCACTGCCGCCGTGCGCATCGCGATCCGCATAGGTGTTTGCATAGGAATTCCGCGTCGGAGCCTGGTCCGCAGTCGTCGTCGTCGTCGGCGTCGTCGGCGTCGTCGTCCTCGTCGTCGTCGCCGTCGTCGTCGTCGTCGTCGCCGTCGTCGTCGTCGTCGTCGTCGTCGTCGTCGTCGTCTTCGTCGTCGTTGTCGCTCGTCGTTCGTCACTCGTCGCTCATCGTCGTCGTGCGCGCGGACGCAGCTGGAGCCTGTTTTTAACTCCGGGCCGATGACGGCAATCATCTGGGGGGGAGGGAGCCTATGACGTCACGTTTCGCGACGGCGGCGTCTGGAAACGTTTAGGAATCACCGAGGACGGGTAGCAGCAGCATGTCGGTGGCGATCTGCACAACAACGCCTGTGTACACCATAGGGCCTGCGTGCATCACAGTGCCAGTGTGTGCCACAGTGCCTGCTGGCACCACAGCGTTTGTGTACACCACAGTGCCTGCGTACACCACATCAGCCGTGTGCAACACAGCACCAGTGTACACCACAATGCCTGCATGCACTCAGCTTGGCACCAGTGAAAAGACCATTCTGCGGTACACGCCGAGACGAACACGTGCGCTGTAGTGTCGACCAACGCGACGGGGCAAGGGTGAGGGAGGAGGAGGAGGACGAGGAGGACGAGGATGAGGACGAGGAGGACGAAGAGAAGGAGGAGGAGGAGGAGGAGGAGGCGGAGGCGGAGGAGGGAAGAGGGAAGGACGTCGCATTCTATTCTCGGCACTTAGGCGCTGTGTTGCACATGGCTGCTGCGGTGTACAAATTTGCTGTGGTGTACACCGGCGCTGTGGCGCACGCAAGTACACAGGCGCTGCGTTGCACACGGCTGTTGCGGTGTACGCAGGCGCCGTGGTGCACACAAGCTCTATGGTGCTCGCGAGCACTGCGGTGTACACAGGCGCTGTGGGGCAGATCGCCACCTATATGCTGCTCGCGTCGTCGTCGTTGTCGTCGTCGTCGTCGTCGTCGTCGTCGTCGTCGTCGCTCGTCGCTCATCGCTCGTCGCTCATCGCCATGCGCGCGGGCGCGGCTGTGGTGCTGGAGCCCCATGGTGGGGGGAGCGGTGTTACGTCATACCCCCCCCCGCCCCCCCCCCCGCCCCCCCCCCGCCCCCATGTCGCCCGTCATCGCCGATGATAAGAAAACGCGCTTAGGGACCTCGCCATCGAGGATCCACAGAGTTGCCGTCTCTTCCTCGGCGGAGTGTGGCGGGAGGGCGGCGGATTGCCACGAAGCGAAGTCGCTGGCGTCAAACAATTCGAATCAGAAGAAACTCAGGAGGGTACAAAAACACACAGACACAATTAATCGTCGATTCCCAGAAAATATGGAAAATATTGGAAGTGGGTGGGAAGACAAGAAACCAGACAATATAGGAAAATATGGGGAATATTTTTATTTGTGTGTATTTATTTGTGTGTCCTGGGGCCCCTTCAGACATTGCACGCTAAACTAAGCGTTGGGAGATGCGCGCGGATGTTCTGGATCTGCGCTGGAGCCCCCTGCGCCGGTGCCTCCTGCGCCTTCCCGGCGTGGCGCGCTCCGCGCGCCAGGTAGGGCTTTCTCCAGCGCATGCTCACGAAAGCCGTGCGGACCTCCGAGAGCTCATGCAGCGTTTTGGTATTCAAGGAGGGGTCTCCCCCTCGAGGATGCAGCGAGGTGCCACCTCTGCCTCGGCGGGAGGCGGCGGAAGTAATAAAAAGGGTCTGGCGAAAGGCTGGCGAAAAGGCCGGCGGCGGCCCGCGGAAGCGCAAGATGCCTTCCCGAGAGATGGCGACCCGTTTGGGTCCAGGAGCTCGAGGAGGAGGAGGAGGAGGAGGAGGCAGAGCCCGCCATGCACACGCAGCCGCGGCCCTGCCGGCCCCGGACCCCTGGGCCGAGACCCCGCGGCTGCGGGGCGTCTCTTTGCTGCCTCGCGCGGGACGTGTCCGTGGGACCGCGCATCCGCGGCCGAAGTGCCCGGCATGGGCGTCGGGGGAGGAGCGGACAAGTACCGGTGCCGCTGGTCGTCCTCGATGGGCCCTCGTCGGCACGGCTGGGTTCCCCTCGAAGGCCCAGTCAAAACGCGCCCCAGGGGAGGCTCGTGGAGCAGTGGCGTCGGTATGTGTTGCCCTCAGAGGGGGAGGATCGCCGTGAATCTAGACCTCTTAGATTTCGAGCGTGAGTTAACTACCCGATTTTTCGCTTCCAGGCAAAACCAAGTCATACCACGCACCTCGTCAAGCGGCCTGACCAGTGCGGGCCGTAGTTCGGCATCGCTTGGTATTTGTAGGAAGCGAGGGTGGTCAAAAGCGAAGTAGGTTTGTGTGTCCCCTATTAGATGGGGTCCGCGTACATTGATCCGCATCGCCGCATCGCCGTTCGACCGCATTGCCGATGCATCGGCGATGCGGCTCGATGTGGAGCACGTGTTTCTCCGCGCCGACGACGCCGATGCATCAATCGCATAAACGATCGGGCGCGATCCTCCGACCCCATCTGCTCCGACCCCATCTGGAAGGCCTTTCACGAAGCAAACGTTCATTAGAGGAGGAGCAGATCATTTCCGATGCCGCTGCTCGTCCCCAGATTTCTGTCGAGATGCTCTTCTTGTTTCAGTTTTCGGCGGCGAGCGAGGGGGGAAGTGAGAGGGAGAAGGCCTTCTCAGAAGGCTCAGTCCCCTGGCCTTCTGAGAAGTTGTTCTAAACCTTCCCCGGAGACAACAAAGACACTTCTCAGAAGGCGCGAGGACTTCTGAGAAGCTTCGCCGCCTTCTGAGGAGGCCTTCTCCTTCTCATTTCCTCCCCTCGCTCGCCGCCGACATTTGGGCGTGTCTCTTCGATCTCGGGCTCGGGGGGCCGTTGGTCTGAGACGAGAAAACGGGACAGGAAGCAGGACTTCTGGAGCCGCGCACTGAAGCAGCATGCCGTCGGAGGCCTGTGTCCCGGAGAGCCTCCGTCGCCACGGCTGGATGCTCCTCGAAACCCAGGCCAGAGCGCACACCAGGAGGGGCCCGCGGAGCAGCGGCATCGGGATTTGCGTTGATTCGCTCGGGACGGTTCCCGAGGAAACGGGCGCTGGAAGTGTCGCGCAGTTCGCGGGCTCTCGGGGGCCCCTCCCTCTAGGGCCCAGGGCCGCCAGAACCTCGGGTCGGAATCCAGGGCGCTGGAGGAGGAGGAGGAGGAGAAGGAGGAGGAGAAGGAGGAGGAGAAGGAGGAGGAGGCGGAGGAGGAGGAGGAGGAAGAGGAGGAGGCGGAGGAGGAGGAGGAGGAGGAGGAGGGAGGGCGAGGACGAGGAGGAGGAGGAGGTGGAGGAGGAGGAAGAGGGCGAGGAGGAGGAGGTGAAGGAGGAGGGCCCTTGAGTCCAGGGCTCCCTCGAGGACCTCTCGGGCTTTGCTAGAGTGAAGTGCCCCTGGCCCAGGGTGCCCCCGGGAATTCCAGGGAGGCCCCCACGGCCTCCAGAGCACACCTCACGAGACCTAGAGCTATGATGTTCCAACCTACTTTAGCCTTGATCACCAGAAAGAATTCCGAGCCCCCAGAAAGTACCGAAACTCGACGGTTTTCACGGGTCGGGCCCTGGGAGACACTCGCCCGACACATGTTCGACATTGTTTCGACACTCTTTTGGCACTTTTGCGGGTGCTCCATGGGGTGCTCGAAATTATTTCTGGGATGCGGTTCTTAAGTGGGATGGGAACAACAGAGGGCCCCAAGGGCTCCGAGCTGGAGCGAAAAGTTTGGGGCACCTTTGGGCCAGGGGCACCTGGAGCAACCCTTGGCCCTTGGACCTTGTGTCGCATGCCAGGAGGACTCAGAGCGGGACACGGCAGCCGCTGGGGATCGGACTGGTCTCTGACGCCAGCGCGGGCTCTGCGTGCGCTGCCAGGTTCGCAGGAGGCGCCTACGTCCAGCAAGAAAGTTGTCGGCTTGGGGCGTTGGGACCGGGAGAAGTGAGAGCGATGTCCATCTTACAGCGCATGTTGCAGGTGCTACGGCACCGTCGTGTCCTGTGTCTGCCCAGACCCTTCCCTCCCAACGCGGCACGTGAGCGACGCCAAACAACGGGGTCGTCTGCGCCGACCTTCGCGCGCAGGCGGCCCGCGCAAGCTCGCGCGTGAGCTCGCGCGTAAGCGCCCTCGTCTCCAATGTGGCGCGCCGCGCCAGCGGCCCGCGTAAGCCACCGCGTAAGGTTCAGAGCCCCGAATCATCAGGGGTAACTCGGGTCAGGGTTAACTCGGGTTCGTGTTCCGGGAATCCAAACCCGAGTTACCCCGGACCCGAGTTACCCCGGATAACTCGGGCGTCCAGAGCCCCACATCATCAGGGGTAACTCGGGTCAGGGCTAACTCGGGTTCCTTTTCTGGGAATCCAAACCCGACTTACCCCGGACCCGAATTACCCCGGATAACTCGGGCGCCCAACGTAAGCGCCCTCGTCTCCAATGTGGCGCGCCGCGCCAGCGGCCCGCGTGAGCCACCGCGTATGAGGTCGCTGCGCCGTCTCGCGGAGGGCCCGTCTCCGATCGTCGCCGGAGTGGCTGCCTCCTCGTGCACGCGCACCGGCAGGCCCGGCCAGGGCCGTCCCGGGCCACGGGATGAGAAGGCCCTCCCGGCCTCGGCGTGCGATATCTTATTCTCTTTTAGTATCTGGACGCCCGAAATGGGTACGGAAAGAATGGGTACAATGCCCAGCAGCAGTTCCTGTTCATCTTGAACAGGACTCGCTGTCCGCGCCGCCGCGGCCTGTGTCCATTTGAGACAGAAGGCCGCCTGCCCAACAGCGGCCGCTGTTGGTTTGGGACAACATTTGTTGTTGGGCATTGTACCCATTCTTTCGGTACCCATGTCGGGCGTCCAAGTAGTATGGCTGATGTTGATATCGAGAGGCTCCCACATTGGATCATCTTGTCCTGACGTGGCCAGCGGACAGAGGTAACTCAGCGCGGTCAGCCTCTAGAGTGCGTGCGCTCGGCTCTCCTGTGCGACATGCTCGCAAGCGATCGTTTCAGCGATATGTTCGCTGAAACGTAGTGCGTAGTCTCGCGAGCGATCTATTCAGCGATCGTCTCGTGCGTAGTCGTCGTCTCGTGCGTAGCGAGCGATGTTCTCGCGAGCGATATATTCGGCGATCGTCTCGTGCGTTCGGCTTTCCTGATCGTGCCAGCGACATTTTCGCAAGTTGGACGTGCACGCCAAGCGTTAAGTCGGGCCTGCCCCCCTACAGGGGGATTTTCGACGAAAATAGTCCGGGGACTACTTTAGGGGTATTTTTGTTTACCTTTTGAAGGTATTTTGGGGATTTTTTTTTTGTTCGTCGAAAATCCCCCTGTAGGGGGACAGGCCCGACTTAACGCAAGTTGGACGTGCACGCCAAGCGGGGGGGGCCACGCCGGGCCGAGCGGCGGTGGTCCTGCGCAGCTGGCCTCTCCGCGCGTGCCCCGCGGCGCGGCTCCGCCCGGCGTCGTGGCGGCCCCTCGGCCTGCACCGCCGGCGGAGCGCCGGGGACGGAGGAGAGGGGCGCCGACGAGCTCGCTCCGCTCAGGGGGCTCCTCCCCCTCCTCCATCTCCTCCTCCTCCTCCTCCTCCTCCTCCTCCTCCTCCTCCTCCTCCTCCTCCTCCTCCTCCTCCTCCATCTCCTCCTCTCCTCCTCCTCCTCCTCCTCCTCCTCCTCCTCCTCCATCTCCTCCTCCTCCTCCTCCTCCTCCTCCTCCTCCTCCTCCTCCTCCTCCTCCTCCTCCATCTCCTCCTCCTCCTCCTCCTCCTCCTCCTCCTCCCCTTCCTCCTCCTCCTCCTCCTCCTCCTCCTCCTCCTCCTCCTCCTCCTCCTCCTCCTCCTCCTCCCCTCCTCCTCCTCCCCTCCTCCCTCCTCCCTCCCTCCCTCCTCCCTCCTCCCTCCTCCCTCCTCCCTCCTCCCTCCTCCCTCCCCCCTCCTCCCCTCCTCCTCCTCCTTCCTCCTCCTCCTCCCCTCCTCCTCCTCCTCCTCCTCCTCCTCCTCCTCCTCCTTCTCCTCCTCCTCCTCCTCCTCCCTCCTCCTTCCTCCTCCTCCTCCTCCTCCCTCCTCCTCCTCCTCCTCCTCCTCCTCTCCTCCTCCTCCTCCTCCTCCTCCTCCTCCTCCTCCTCGCTAGCTGTATACAGCCGGGGCCCATGCCAAGGAACGTCCTGCTTGCCTCCAGGGTGCCCTGGGTGTCTTGGGTTTCGATGGTGCCACGATGGCGAGAGGGGGGCGCGACGTTCCCACGCCCAGAAACCATGGACTTCCTGGGGTCTCAGGGCTGGGTTTCTTGCGGAAGGTTTCTTGTGGTCGGCCCCCCGCTGTACGCCGCGTCGTCTTGCTGGCCGAGGGCCCAAGCAATTCTGCACATCGGGTCTCCCGCGCGCCACCGCTTTGGAGCCTGGGGCGTCAAGGCACCGCCTCTCCTGGGCCGACCAGGCAGCTTTGCAGACATCCTTCGGCACGTGTTTGTTCACTCGCGGCCCGAGAGCTCTCGACCTTTTTCGTCTGGCACCCATACGGGAACCGAAGCGAAGACAAATCATCGCGATGGAGAAAGCCACATCATGTAGACTTCGGGCCCCGCTCAATCACCCTCAAGTCCTTCCCTCCACCCCCCCCGCGCAGCCACCCGCTCGCCCGCTTCCCTGGGGCCGGCCTGTCGGCCTGTGCCGGTTTTGTTGTTGACTGTCCCGGGCCCAGGAGACGGCCTCCAGAGCCCGAAGGCGCAGCACAGCGAAGAAGCTCCAGCCGTCGCGATTCTGCACCGCCTGGATCTGAGGGTCCACCCTAAGAGTAATGATAGTTATAAGAAGAAGTATAGTAACAATATGGTTAGTAATGTCTATATGGTTAATACAACTAATTATAACAATCGTAAGCATAATCAGAACAATCAAGCAGGCGTCGCGAAGAAGACGAGGAACAAGAAAAAGAAGGATCATAACAACAGCACAACGAATCAGATCCAGCCGCCTCGGTTTGTCTGAGCCGCCTCTGGATCTGAGGGCCCCCGCCGGGCTGTCGTCCCTCCTCGTGCCAGGCGGCCGCGTGCCCACGAGCGCGCGCAGCCGACAGAACAAACAAAACAGGCCTGGGCCCCCTCGCGGAGCGCCACCTCCCCCCTCCCCCCCCCAGGTAGCGGACGCGGCCCGGCGAAGGAGGGCGCTTGCGAACGTCACCGACTGCACTCCTACAATTCCTTAGATGCTCGTTTCGGGGACCTTCCTGGGGCCCACCAAACGGATATGTTCGCCTCAAGTGCGACCCAATTCGATTCGGGTTCGGCTCAGGTTCGACTCAAGGTCGACTCAAATCGACGGACGTTCGACGCAGCTTCGACGTACGTACGAGTGGAGCGAGTGGCTCCAGGAAGGTCCCCAGAAGGAGCATCCAAAATTCTATAGCATTCCATACAATCAACCCGCTTGTAGGGGTTCGCTGGCCCTGTCCCGCTCGTAGAGATTCGGAACGGCCCTCCAAGGCCCTTGCATCCTGATCCTGCATCCTTCTGATACGGGTTGACTGTATCATGTGCGACCCGAGTTTAAGACCAGCGATCTTCTTATTACAGTGGAGGCCCATGCCACGAAGCACCCTGCTTGCCTCCAGAGTGCCCTGGGTTTCTTGGATTTC